ATATATATATATATATATATACACACACACACACACACACACAATTGCAAGTTACAAACTAATTGTGAGTTTATCTCGCACTTTTGAGTTTTTCTCTCAGAATTCTGAGTTTACATCTCACAATTTCACACAATTAAGTGTTTATATCTCACGATTGCAGGTTATAAACTTGAATTCTGAGTTTATGTCTCACAATTCTGACTTTTTTTCCATAGTATACACAGTTTCCGCTTTCATTTCTAATGTGATAAACCACATCAAACATATTTTCTCATTGTATGAATAAAGACCGCCAAGGCTTTTCCATATAAAATATATGCTAATCACATTCATTTAATTTATTTTTATTTGTAGTCATTTTTGTACTTAAACAACACATTCATTTCTGAAATAACTTGATGCAATTTGCTGAATTAAGCTGGCAACATAATGAGGTCATGTGAAAGTTTATCACACCTTTATTATTGCATATTGTATACTTGTAATGTTTAAAATTTCATGAAAACAATAATCCACTCACATTCGTATTACTTTTGTAAATGCATACATATTTTTTTTACTGTAAATTTAGCTATTTTAAATAAAATAATAAAACATTAATAAACAAAATAATTTTCTTTTATATGTATTTATATCAAATTGTAAAAACATAACCATTGCTGTAATTGTCTATTTTACATCCTTTAGAAAATAACTCAAATTTGTATTACTGCTGTAAATAAATGTATCCATATTTAAATTGCTACTAAATTTGCCATAAAATATTTCTTACAACCATTTTAAATTCAATAAATAAATAAATAAATAAATCATATATATATATATATATATATAACATTTTATTAATTATTTTATTTATTTAATCCATATAGCATTTAAAAATAGGCAGAGTACAGTATATACTGAGGGATGTCACGTCTAAAGCTCATAACCATTGCTGATAATCTCTTCATGTCTATTTTACGTCCTTTAGAGAAGATCATTGACTGGGTGCTGCCATACACGCAGTATCAGAATCAGCTGGTGGACCAGGCCGCGCTCATGCTGACCCTGTCAGGACGGGTCAGTGAGACCCAGCAGGTTTTGGCCAATCAGACCAGCTTTAGGCTCCGAACACCTGATCTCCACATTGAGGTGAGACATCCAGAGCCGTCAGCTGCTTTTACCACTGTACAGTTGTGTTTACTCCCAAATTTGACCACAATAATACTTTGCAGATACTTTTATTGCATCTTAAAATTGGAAAGGGTTTGTAAATGTGCTTTGTTTCTTGTTGTAGCCTATAGGAGGGGCGTGTGTGGGCAAGGAGACGTCCGCGAAGATCACCTTCACAAATCCTCTGCCTTGTACTCTCCGTAATGTGGTTATCCGAGTGGAAGGACTGGGGCTGAGAGACCTCCATCCCATCAGAGTCGGGTAAGAGCCTCACAATTCATCAAGATTAGTCATCCTGACTCTTTAGAACGGAATGTGTGCAGGATTCCCATAGAGCACAAAGTTCCCAATAGGACTATTATGACTATGGACTGGATAAAATGCCCCTGTACATTTTTTTTTAAAATTTTAAAACTGCTCTCTGTGATTTCCCTATTCCAGTATAATACAAGTAGAGTTTTGTTGAATGTTGCATAATATCCAAAAAATAATAAAATCCTGCAGGAATTTCCATTAGGATCTTGGTTGATTTCCTCTAGAAATAGTTAGAAATAGTTCCGAATTATGGTTCAACTTTACACAGGATCCAGTGTTATTAATTAAAACTACAACTAAAAAGATTAAAAAATATTTTCATTAATTGGAATAAAGCTGAATTAAAATCAAATAAAAAAAATAGATAAACTGAAATAAAATAAAAGAGTTTAAGTTGAAGTACTAAAATTACTAAAACCTAAACTAATATAAATAGGAAGCTAAATAAAAAAAATATTTAAATAATATACTAATGAAAACAAAAACTAAAAAAATCTAAAAATAAAATTACTGAAATATAAACAAAAATGAAAATTAATATATAAAAATACCTAATTCTAAGTATTAATAAATACTATAAAACTATACTATAATAAATATACAAACTATAATACAAATACATATTATAATATAAAATACTAAATAACACTGACCTGTACACAATTCAGTTCATTGCTCTTGCTCTACTAAAATTGTTAAAACTGACATAAATAAAAATTAGATATTTAAAAAATATCTAATAAAAATGACAAAAAACACAGAAGAAAATTACTAAACTTAAAATGAGAACTGATCATATAAAAATGAAAGCTAATTCTAAATATTAATAAACTCTTCCATGTCTTCTCTTTCTCTTGTCTCTCAGTGATGTGAGCAAACATGCCAACGTGACGGTGACGGAGCACTTCATCCCCACGATAGCGGGCAAGAGGAAGCTGGTGGCGTCTCTGGACTGCAAACAGCTGTCGCAGGTGCACGGCGTGGCCGACATCGATGTTCACGAGAGCCAGTGAATTCAGTCTGCTGTTCAGACTTCACAGTATTATATCTGCATTATAATTGCACAAACCATTTTTAAGAAGTTTATGCTGAGCCATATGGTTATGTCTTTAAAGAAATAACCCTCTTTTTCACATAAGAGCGCTCCTACTGTATGTCCCTAATTTGAAGTTAGTTTTTATTTCATTTTAGACATTATTTATTTAAAAAACTGTATTTGCTTTACTGTGTGTGATCAAGTGTTTCTATTTGCCACTGAAAAAAGTAAGCTCTTATATATTAACACATGGTTATTAAAATTTTATTTAATGACTGTTCATCTAAAATATCGTAATTGTTGTTTAAACGATATGTGATGTGAAAATGATCAAGTATATTGCAAAAACCAAACAAAAACACACCCAGAAAGTACACGCATACACTATGAGATGCAGTTTAGATTAATGCGCAAGCATATTTAGAGTTCACACTATCACTGCATGATTTATTCTATTAAAATACATTTAGAATTCCCTCAAAATTCAAGACAAGGGGGCAAATATGTCCCTGTATGACTTTTATATGTCTTTTATATTCAGCTGGTACATTTAATATCACACAAAGAGTATTTTTTTCTCCAAATATCAGTACGATTGCAGATGTGATATTGATTTTATAAAACAGTCCAATAAACAAGAAGTTAATATTAATTGACTTACTGTTTCAAACGAAGCCACAGCAGAACTGTTTTGTGTCTCCGAGCAACACAACGGTGTTTGAACGAATCAGTTGAATGAATGACTCAATGACTCACTCATGCAGTGATTTTAGGTTTATATTTAAAGTACATTTTCCCTTTCCCCCCAGAATCATTTCAGATATCACCAATGAACGTTTTGTTTTTAAAACATCAAAACATTAATTATGCATTTGTAACTGCAGGTTAAATGCATTAAACAGCCTGTGTGAATGCATCTAAATGCCACTCCAGATGAAGCTTCTGTGCCACCTCTGCATTGCAACCACAAATTTTGTTGATACTGATTTCATTTGATTGGTAGCAGCACTATAGTGTCTTACTATTTCAATTGCTTGATTAAATGTACGAATTTGACACAAAATATGATGCATACATTTAGGTTAGAAAAATAAAAAGTGGCCTTATAAAGGTCAAAATGCACATAAAAAGTAAAAATCGATGTAAAATTATTGGAAAAGTAAATGTCTGTTACTCCTGCAAACTAATATGAAGAACATCAAAAGCTGTGGGAGTCAGCTGTCCACGGCAGTCCAAAACCTGCCAAAATACCAGCACAATAACACGCTCAGCAAAATAGCGTCTAATTATCATTATCGTTATGTTTTGTCATTATCGCACACCCCTAATATGAAGACACTTACACTTCATGGCATATTAGGTTTTTATGAAGGAGATAAAAGTAGTTCATGTATGTTTGTATTATTTACGTTATGTTTTTTTTTCTTTAAAAAACAGCATTTTATTAACACCATATTCTGTTTTCTGTGGTAGTTTTTTTGAAGATGTTTCTTTCGCCTGCTTGACAAGACTTGTGTGTTTGATTTGGAAAGATGAAGTAAAACACTCCCTTGTGTTTGAATTGAAACAAATGTCTTCTGTGATGAGATGAACCTGTTGTTGAAGAGGTTTACTGAACAATCTGCTCACACTAAACACCTGTGCCTAAATTAAGAGTGTTGCATTTCAAATTGTTTACCACACATTAATTCACTCATGGATACCATAGTGTTTATATAAATAAATAATGTATATATCTAAATTCTTATCCTTTTCTGCATTACACCCCTGCTTCAACTTGTTTCCTAGTCTGGCTTAAATAAATATATAAATATGTTTACAATGCCACAGCAGCATACTATTTATACTATTTTTGCAGTATGGAATCTATGGTCTATGGTGTATTTTCTGTATTTACCTGTCCTGAATAACCTACTACATCTGTCAAGATGTACAAGAATAACACCGCAGAGTACTGTATATGTGGTATCTCGCTATGAAATGCATTCTATTTCTAGAATGACGAACAAGTCAGAAATATCAGGTATGATTTTTTAAATCATAAACCATTTTATATTGATTAGACTGCCATGCTGGCACACAAATCATATTTGTGATGTAGTAAGGCCATGCTACTAGTATAGCATACTTCTGTTTGAAACATTTATTGTTGCATACTCTTTCACTTGCCAATTTTACAATAGTAGAAACTATACTGTATATAGTATATAGGCAAAAAGCAAAATGGTGTGTCTAGCGCCTGGTACTGTCACTTATTTGTAATCACAAGAGGAAAGAGAAAAGCTCCCAGAAACAAATTAAGAGTGCTGCAGAGATGACGTGTTTTATTGGGCCAAAATCCAGAAAAAAAATTTCAGCACTAGGGTCTGTTAAAGCGGTCATGAACTGCATTTTTTTTTTTACTATTTCATAATGTTCTCTGTGGTTCACTTATAATGTTAGTGTGATTTTACATTAAAAAAACATCATCATTTAGAAGTAATAAGCTATTTTCTATCCTGTTTTTGAGCCTCTCTGCAAAACGGTCTGTTTTTATAGGAGGGGTGCATTCAAGACTCGCAAGTAAACGCCCACTGCTGTGATTGGCTGACAGTTGCAGAGGCGGGCTTTCGCTGCACTATTACGTCATAAACTGGCACATTCCAAAACGAGCCGTTTTCTGAGCTTGGTTACAGGAAAAGCTGTTTTTAAACTAACAAGAAAGTTTTGAGTTTTGAAACTTACAGGATGACCTCTTATATGTCAAAAGAGCAAGAGAAATTTGATTTCTCAGTTCATGACCCCTTTAAGACAAGCTCAAGGTATTTTAACCTTTATTCTACAGCATAATATACATCAGTGATACTCTATTCCTTATTTTTTTAAGCTTTTATGAGTCTTGAAAAAGGTGGTTGCAAGTGGCTAATTGGGACTGCAGAGGTTGTTGTTCCTTTATAGCTTAACTTTAGCCAATTGCTTTTGGCGATTGTATTTAGGCTTCAGGATTCATAAAAGTTGTTAATTTTTAAAGATTATCATGATAAACAAAACGTGTAAGAATCACAGACTTGGATCAGGGTGATGCCACACTGATGTGCAAATAATTATATACATAAAATGCTTAAATAAATATACAGTACACATAAAAAAATAATCACTACAGCAGTACAAAAAGCCTATAAAGACAAGCAAATAAAGGCACCTCTTATTAAATGTACACCAATGTAATGAGATCTGGACATTATAAAAACAGAAGATCGTTTATAATGCTGAATGAATTATTAAACATCTCTTCTTTTAGTCGATATGACTGTCCAAACACTGTCAATGCATTCATGACACAGCATGACTTTCTCAGTGCATCACTGAAAAGAAATCTGAATGAAACATCCACCTTATTTTTTCCAAAAGAGCGGGCCATTTGTGAATTTTAGGAGTCTGGCTGATTGGCTGACAGTTGCAGAGGCGGGCTTTCGCTGCACTATTACGTCATAAACTGGCACATTCCAAAACGAGCCGTTTTCTGAGCTTGGTTACAGGAAAAGCTGTTTTTAAACTAACAAGAAAGTTTTGAGTTTTGAAACTTACAGGATGACCTCTTATATGTCAAAAGAGCAAGAGAAATTTGATTTCTCAGTTCATGACCCCTTTAAGACAAGCTCAAGGTATTTTAACCTTTATTCTACAGCATAATATACATCAGTGATACTCTATTCCTTATTTTTTTAAGCTTTTATGAGTCTTGAAAAAGGTAGTTGCAAGTGGCTAATTGGGACTGCAGAGGTTGTTGTTCCTTTATAGCTTAACTTTAGCCAATTGCTTTTGGCGATTGTATTTAGGCTTCAGGATTCATAAAAGTTGTTAATTTTTAAAGATTATCATGATAAACAAAACGTGTAAGAATCACAGACTTGGATCAGGGTGATGCCACACTGATGTGCAAATAATTATATACATAAAATGCTTAAATAAATATACAGTACACATAAAAAAATAATCACTACAGCAGTACAAAAAGCCTATAAAGACAAGCAAATAAAGGCACCTCTTATTAAATGTACACCAATGTAATGAGATCTGGACATTATAAAAACAGAAGATTGTTTATAATGCTGAATGAATTATTAAATATCTCTTCTTTTAGTTGATATGACTGTCCAAACACTGTCAATGCATTCATGACACAGCATGACTTTCTCAGTGCATGATTGAAAAGAAATCTGAATGAAACATCCACCTTATTTTTTCCAAAAGAGCGGGCCATTTGTGAATTTTAGGAGTCTGGCTTCCGGTCTCATCCACGTCCAGCTATTTTCAGCTGTGCAAAACAGCTCGTTTTGCTGCATGTTATTGTAAATCGGTGTGTCTTACCATATTATTTTAATGTATTATCTTAATTATGAACACACTGGCTTGTAGTGCAAACAGTTTTACTGTTTACTGCACGTTGTTATTCTTCTGGTTATTTCGCTACAGTGGCTAATGAACCGGAAGAATAAGATGGATAGGTTAGAAAATACAAATACAACCAGTTTCCATTGAATCCTGCAGTATAATCACTGAGCCTTTCCACATTAAAGGCCACAAACAGTACAATCTGAATATGAAGCGACAAGGTCTGAGAACAGCTTAGCTTTTAAATGTTTCTATCAACCTGATCCCACAAACACGGGACAGACCTCTTTCAAAAATATAGACACCTGCACCTACAAACCAATGTGCATCATATTTAGTCAACTGTATTACAAATACTCTCAACTACTCGGTTGAACTCTTCTGGCTGATCGGCGTAGACGTGATGGGAAGCATCTTCGATCAGCTGTAGAGAGAAACTACTGTCATTTTTAATATTTCCAACCAATGAATTTAGAGAGTGTCCTGCATTGCAAACACAATAATTTCTCACTGTGACGCTGGTGGGGCTTTTGCCTCTGATCTGAACGACTGTCTTTCCAGTGGATGGGTCCACCCAGGACAGCGCGCCGTACAGCAAGCTGACGGGCATCGACGGTGGCAGCAGATGAACACGCTGAACCATCGGCCTCTTGGCCCAGCCGATCGACTCAGACATGGCTTTGAAACCCACCTCACCGCTGGGAGGAAAAGACAAATTCAATATACAGTTTCTTCTGCATCTTCAGGAGAATGCATCTGTAGAAAGACTGTACCTTGGGTTCTGAGCGTTACAGTGGTAAATGTATTGCATCATAGTGTCGTCTTCAAACAGATCCTCAAACTTCCTCTTGAAGTCGGGACGGAATCGGTTGACCAGCCCTGGACCTGCATGAACACATGTGACGTGATGATGTCTTGAATAACTTGATTTTGAAGTATCATCAACTTCAAATCAAAGCAAATTGCTCATCTGCTCATGTCCCAAAACCTAGTACGCTGCCTACACAGACAGTATTTTAAGACATTACAATTAAGAGAAAAGTAGCATTAGATACCCAGATTAAGGCATAATCACATGTATGATTCATGAAGAAGTCAAACCCATAATGAACTGTGACGAGCACAGTAAAAAATTCAAGATGGCAGAAGAAGCAAGAAAAATGTTGATATACTCAATTTGAATTACAAATCAGACTATTTGACTTTTTAAGTTATATATTTTTATAATTATTACAGAGAAGTGGTTCTCAATATATACATTTACATTTTTAATCTAACTAAAATGCAGCAGCTAGAGTTCTTACTAGAACCAGGAAGTACAACCATATTAGTCCGGTTCTGTCAGCACTGCACTGGCTCCCTATTGAACATCGAATACATTTTCAAATCTTGATAATTACTTCTAAAGCTCTGAATGGTTTAGCTCCTCAAGCTCTCTTATGTCAAGCTCTAAAATATTATATCAGGTAGAAAATGCTGCTATTTAAATCACAAACTAGAAAATGCATGCATTATTTCAATTAATTTGAATTGTTTTAAAATGAATAATTATGAAAAATGATGAAACTATATACGTATTTCTAAGACTTACATTTTTTTATTTCGGAGTAAAAAATAATTAACACTAATCACAAACATAAAATAAAAAGTGTAAATCATAAATCATTTTTATTTATAATTATTTTATTTTACTATGCTCACACTCCTAGTTTTTGTAAATAAATTTTTTTTAAATCAGCAGCCTCGTCTTTATAGCATAAGTATCAGAAATCTTGGGGGTTTTTACATTTGTGACCTTGGACCACAGAACCACTCATAAGGGTACATTTTTCTAAATTGAGATTTATGCATCACATGCAAACTGAATAAATACGCTTTCCATAGATGTATGGTTTGTTAGGATAGGACAATATTTGGCCGAGATACAACTATTTGAAAATCTGGAATCTGAGGGTGCAAAAAAAAATCTAAATATTGAGAAAATCATCTTTAAAGTTGTCCAAATGAAGTTCTTAGCAATGCATATTACTAATCAAAAATTAAGTTTTGATATATTTACAGTAGGAAATTGACAAAATATCTTCATGGAACATGATATTTGCTTAGTATCCTAATGATTTTTGGCATAAAAGAAAAATTTATAATTTTGACCCATACAATGTATTGTTGGCTATTGCTACAAATATACCCCAGCGACTTAACACTGCTTTTGTGCTCCAGGGTCACATTGTTTTTGACAATGTAGCTTATTTTTATTACGGTCAAAGTCAGTAGTGAGTTGCATGTCCTGTGTGCTTCATGTGAGGAGTGCAGCTTATGAATATTGTTCCAGATCAGTAAAATATGAGGTTACTTTTCAGTTAGTATGCTAGGTTTTGGAACAAAGTCGCTGTCATCATGGTGCTGATACTCACCCCAGGGTCCGGCTGCTCTGAAGACGGCCAGCGGGTTGAAGAGCCTGAACACTGACACCAGAGCTTTCACCCAGCGAGGCGGTGAGACCCTTTTAACCTCTGACCCTTGACCTCCTGACCCCTCTAACTGAGGCTGAGGTTGCTCAGGGAAACCCCACGCGTCCACCAGGATGAGGTGACTGACTCTAGTGGACAAAAACACAACTGCTGTCAAGATCGTGTCATTCGTTATATTAACAATTATAAAATGGTCCACAAAGTCTGACAACCAAAAAATGTCCAAGACTTTTTGTCTTCATTTTGAACAATATATTTATTGTATTTACACACACATATATATATATATATATATATATATATATATATATATAAAATCATGTATATATCAATTATATTCATCATAAAAAAGTAACTGTGTGTGTATATTTTATATATATATATACAGTGGGTACGGAAAGTATTCAGACCCCCTTAAATTTTTCACTCTTTGTTATATTGCAGCCATTTGCTAAAATCATTTAAGTAAATTTTTTTTCCTCATTAATGTACACACAGCACCCCATATTGACAGAAAAACACAGAATTGTTGACATTTTTGCAGATTTATTAAAAAAGAAAAACTGAAATATCACATGGTCCTAAGTATTCAGACCCTTTGCTATACACAAGCACATAAAAGAAAAAATGTTTTAAATAAAGATTTAAGTAATGTTAGGAGCATCACTTTATTATAAAATAATAATAAAATGTTAATGTCTATACTGTACACGATGTGAATCAAAGTTGACATCAGCACTAAAATTAAAATTTCAGTTTTAAAATTAAAAACGCATACTCCAGTAATCAATAATAAGACAGAAATGTTACGTTTGGAGAATCACTTTATGATAAAATACTTTGCTTTATTTATGCTCTGTACTGTACATCATATAAATAAGAGGTGCCACTGACATTTAAATAAAAACTTTAATCTATATTTATTTATATATTCCTATAACCAATAATTAGACAGAAAGGTTAAGATGTAAATTATCTTAGGAGCATCACTTTATTATAATTGTCTATTTATGGACTGTACTGTACACCATATGAAAGGAAGCTGCCATTAGCATTTACATTTATATTTATTCTTAAATTTAAAAAGTATCACTCCTATAAGGAATAATAACACATAAGGGTTCATCTGTAAATGATTGTTATTTAGTTCAAAAAACGAGCCATAACTATAGTGATGTAAACAGCTCAGCATGACTTTGCATAACGTTATGCCATCACAGAGCATGTATGAATTATTCTATTACTTCATATCAATCATTCAGTGCAGGCATTTTGAAATATGCGCATGTTAAACACACAGTGCGTTTCATAATAAAAGGAAACCTAATGTTACATCTCGTGTCTGTAACGTAATTATGATTGTATGTTCAGATTCGGTACTCACTCTGTGTCAGTCTCGTCTTGCATTGCAGGAGACATTAGTATGAAACATAATACAATAACAATCCCCGACGACAGACTGGCATACCTTAGATTCGTGCACTAGTGTTTGTGTTTTGTAACACTGACGTCAGCGTCTTTAAAGGAGCCGCGCCACAAAAATAAAAGAAACGCGTGAAATGTCATGAAACAACTCTTATCTTAATTTGTGAGCCTATTTATTTTTGTTTCAAACAGTCAGTGTACTAATGAGGTGATACTCTTGAATAGTATTTGCTCTGCACTATTTGCACTATTTTTTTTATTTTTTTTTATTATTATCTGTGTTTTTTTGTTCTGTCACTGTCACTCTGTTGCACTGTGGGAGCTTCTGTCACGAAAACAAATTCCTCGTATATGTAAACATACCCGGCAATAAAGCTCATTCTGATTCTGATTTTATTGGATAATTATGTTGTTGTTGTTTTTACAATACTTCTTTTGTTTCACAATTGTCTCCGGTTGTTCTGATTGGATTTTACACTGGGAGAAAATTGGGATGTGTGGTTAGGAGTGGAGTATTTCATTTATTTGCATTAAACCAGTGGTCCCCAATCCTCCTGGTCCTGGAGAACCCCCAACACTGCACGTTTTAGATGTCTCCCTATTCAAACACACCTGATTCAACTCATCAGCTCATCACTGAAGACTCCAAGACCTCAAATGTGAGTGTCAGATAAGAGAGACACCAAAAACGTGCAGTGTTGGGGGTGCTCCAGGACCAGGATTGGGAACCGACACGAACGTTACACGAGCACCGGAACTAAAGTTCACCTGCAGTTCCAGTGGGGAACATTTAGAGGACGCACACCTGTCTCTCTCTTACACGTCAGTGATTTCCAGGGTTTCTGTGCACATTTCCTGCAGAAGTCATGTCTAATTCGGTATTTTCAGTTATATCGCGTTTTGTGGAGGAGTACAGGAGCAGCACACCGAATAAGCTGAAGATGATCGACGCGTATCTGCTGTACATTCTGCTGACCGGAGTGTTCCAGTTCCTGTACTGTGTGCTGGTGGGAACGTTTCCCTTCAACAGCTTCTTATCTGGATTCATTTCGTGTGTGGGATCCTTCATTCTGGCTGGTATTTACACTTACTTAATCATATATATATATATATATATATATATATATATATATATATATATATATATATATATATATATATAACAAGAATCAAAACATTTATGTATGTATTTTATGTTCTGTATTCATTGCATGTTTGTTTGGAATGTTGGCATGTTGTGTGTCTATAACATCATATTTAAAAATGTTTTTCAGAATATAATATCACTGTATCTTTAATGTGCGCGCGTGTGCGTGTGCGTGTGCGCGTGTGCGCGTGCGCGTGCGCGTGTGCGTGTGTGTGTGCACAGTACACACACACACACACACACACAAAATTGTGTTTTATACATTTATTACAATTATAAATAATTATTTAAACATGCATTGTTTTTATTATTTTATACTATATAATATATTTGCAATATAGTTTGTTGTTTATTTATTTGAGTGTTATGTCAAAAGCAGACATGAAACCATTAAAAACAGCAAAGCTAAATAATAATTGGTATGGGTCAAACATAATAACATCCATTGTTCTCTAAACTTTAACTGCTTTCACCAGCTTCACCAAGCGATGTTCATATTTCCCGGTCTTGTTTGTTGATCATTTGTGTCTTTATGTTCTTCTATCTTCAGTCTGTCTTCGCATCCAGATCAACCCTCAGAATAAAAGAGATTTCCTGACCGTCTCTCCTGAGAGAGCCTTCGCTGATTTCCTCTTCGCTCACACCGTTCTGCATCTAGTGGTCGTCAATTTTGTTGGCTGAAGGAGAGCATCTGCTCTGTGCCGCTTACAGCAGGTGGATGTGTGTCAGTAACACCTAATCAATGATTTCACTTCACTTTCATGTGTCTGATGTTCATGTTCACACATAGCATGATGCATACCGATTATGTCACAACTTCTCACACTTGACAATCACCAGAATGGCTTACTGGTATTTTATGAAAAAGTCCTGTTCATACATGACCTTTTAACTGTGATTTGTGAATACTGTATGTGTCAAAGGGGCTCATGCCTCATAGTTCAGGCAACAAAAAAACAAAAGGAAGCCCCAAAATAGCAGATATGTTTCCTTCCCGGGATCCTTTAAAAAAATAAACTCTATAAACTGCTTGCTCAGTATAAACTAATTTCTTGAGAAGCTCTCTAACTGACCGATAATAAACCCTCAGCTGCCTAATATAGAAAAGTGAATAGATAGATCAGTACATACTTCCTTCCTCCTTTGTCGTGTATTAATTTTTGTACAATGAAATGCGCAGTTGCACAGAATTGCCTGAGGTTAACATACATTGCTTTATATTTTGTTTCGTGTTCCTTCAAGATAGGCTTTCAGTTGCCATTCATTTAGAGATATATACATCTGATGTAAAGTCATTATCATCAAATTGCCAATAAACTCTTTAAACCCTTGCAAAAGACACGTATTTGCATAATTAGAGCTGGACTGATGCATATCGCCAATGCCGATATTACAGCCATCATTTGGCATTTTTAAATGATCAGCATTGGCCAGTTCGTTTTTCTGTTTGGCCGATAAGTGTCGGAGACACTTTATTTTGATAGCGATTGGACTTTTATTTTGGCAGCAAAATTAGTTTGCAACCAGCTGGAGAGGCTGCTCACTGCAGAGCCATTCCCCTTGTCCAAATACCCACACTTGCGGTCTTGGCCACTTGAGAGCGCGTGCGCTCTTGAATTTAGGAAGTAAGTGCGCAAGACTGTCCCAGGTCTTAAAAAAGCCAAAGCGCAGTGCCCTTAACGCACACTAAATCCACACTATCTCGAATACCGCTCCGGAGCGCTATTCGAGGCTTAGTGTATCCCATCATGCATCATGTTCTGGAAATAAATCGTGAGATCTTTTGCCGAGATCTCGCGAGAGGTCACGGAAACCTTTCCAGTGCAAGTTAAATATTAATATAATAATTAGATATTACATATCATTTGGTAGAAAAACCAAATGTTTTATTGGTGCAAAGATGAGTTGTGGTGATATTTATTTTGTACAACATTTGCAACTGATTTTTATCACGTAATTAGAAGCACCACAAATTAAAATTGTCATGATATAGGGACGACTGAACAGACATTTAGAAGTTGAATTTAAAATGCAAAGTATTTAAAAATTAAAATAAAGCTATGTAAACACTTGCATTTTTACAACACTACAAGTGTGTCCCATCAGCTAATGAAAAGTTCGACACACACTTGTGGTCTTCATGCTCATTTGAACACTTGGGCCAAATACAGGAAATACGTCATATAAGTGGTCAAGTGCAAAGACCGCAAGCGTGGGTATTTGGACAAGGCTATTGTGAGGAGCTTAACATCCAGCTTCCCCTCTCCGGATGTAATGGGTGCAGCTAGACACTCCAAACACACCTAACCCTACCCATACCCTATCGCTAAATATAACTCCACCCATTACATCCACAGAGGTGGAGCTGGATGTCATCCGGCTCTGCAGTGAGCACTACTTGTGACCAGCTCTGATGAATCCTGTTTGTTTTTCACAGATATGAAGACCAAACGCTGCAGCTCAACTACAGAACAGCTACAAACAAACAACTGTCTGCAGATCTCTCAATGTTAATATACGTTTTGACAGAATTGTCATTTATGATAAGTTCTTGTCTTGTTCCTTCATTTTTCTACTTTTGTAAAATTCTCTGGAAGTGGTTGAAACAAATGAAATGCCTTTAAAAATTCAGTGATCCTGTAGTGTTTTATTCAATGTAACAAATCTAGGTAATCACATCTGAAGTAAATCTTTGTGTTTGAGATTTTGTTACAAATGATATTTTTAAAATATAAGTAACATTAAAAAATAATAACCATTTTATTTTATGAGTGTAAATGAAACCAGAAGCAGAGTTTTGTATAACTATAGGCCACAGTCTCTATATATTAATTTAGCACTGAACACAATTGCAGTATGGTGCTGCACAAATGGTTAAAAAAAAAAACTCTCTTATCCCACATCTGGACATAGTTTAGGCAGACAGGATTGGGAGTGAATACAGAAATATTCCTTCTCACAACAGCTGTCTTTAGGAAAGAGCAGCGACTTGTATCCTGTAAGATGTTTGACCTTCTTTGCAAAGAATAAAACCTTTTGAAGACAATTGAGAGTGAGTTTGTCTCATGCTGATGAGAGTCAATTTGATTTTGCCCCAACAGTGACGATACAGCAGCTGGAGATGAGAGACTCTGGTACTGGTGTGGAGCTGGTCAACAGAAGGTGGCTGTTCATTTGTTAGTTACACCACGAACCACACACATTACAGCTGACATCCATACTACAAAAACATAGTGTGGAGGAAATTTTATTTTCTGTATTGTTTGCTTCACTGTACTAAGTGTTCTTTAGACTGTCTCAGTTTGCTTCAGTATGCTTGAGTTTTGAGCTGAGAGGTAACAGGAAATCTATTTGTGTATGTTGTTGTTCTGTAAGTTTATTAACAGAAATATTATTTTAGTTTCTTAAACGTCCTGGCTACTTAGAAAATGATTTGCATTAAATTCTTAAAAACTCATCTATTATAAATTTATTGAATTAATAAGATTCTGTTTTCCTTAAAGGGGTCATATGATGCTGCTAAAAATCTCAGGATCAGGAAATGGTCCTCCATAAAATGTGCTGCATTTCTAGTCGTGTCCATTTTTGGAAGGCCAAACAAAGTAGTTTCGCTTCCACAACGAAACACAGCGTCACACACGACGGGCTAGAGTGAGCAGAGGCCGGGGGCTAGAGTGAGGAATGGCCGGAGGGCTAGAGTGAGCAGAGAACAGTGCGGCCGGCGGATTCGACGAAGGAGCGTCCGGAGGGCTTGCGGCAACCACATGTGACGACCCCGGGCTGGACTCCGCTTCATCCGCGGTGAAAGCCGATTCAGTGATCCACAGCGCAAAGTTGTAGTATTTCCTCAGCGATCAGCACGGATCAGCTCTAGGCATGACGAAGCGGATATCGTCCTCTTTTGGAAGGCCAAACAAAGTAGTTTCGCTTTCAGAACGAAACACAGCACCTTCATGACATGGTGACGGCAACAACAATACTACAGCGAGAATAAAAGTTATGCCTTCTTTCTTTGCGTGAACATTTGGGCGGCGTTATGCAAATCTTCCCACATCGTGACGTAGACATGTGGGGGCGTGTTAGAACGAGCCATTTTAGGTAGGCGTGGTTGACTCTTAACTTTTATAAAGAATATCTCTTTGGATTTGAGACTTTAGTCTTTGTAACTTTACAGATCTTCTTTATGCACCAAGAGCTTGTAACACTCCAAAGAGAAAGGAAAAATTGAAATCGCATCATAAGACCCCTTTTAACCTCATTTAGCTTTAGAATAAAAAGGATGCATTCTTATGTTTCTGGGCATTTTTTGTTTTGTTTTGTTTCATTTTACAAAGAAAAAGCAAAAACATCGAGGGACAAATGAATTGAATGATAATCTCACAGTCAGTGCAGTTTGTCTCCGTTATCTTACCATCAACATTAAATAAAAATGTTTACATTATTTACATTCTTAATGTACGTTCCTCTTCTTTTGTGGAAGTATTATCAGTGTACATTATTCCAAATTATTAAAAAAAAAAAGGTTAACCGGTTCATTGAAAGATGATCATTCTTCACTTGGAAATAACAAGAAACGTTATGCTATCTATGCAATGTAGTGGAATAAAAAGTGAGATATTATGCTTTTGAATATAGTGAAGTAAATTCCTGACTAAATGAATTATTCCTGACTAAATGTTGTAAAACTAATGCTTCAAGGAAAAAAACATGCATACAGTTGCTTTAATAAGAAATGACATAATGGAGTACAATGTAAATCTTTACCGCAGAGCCACAACTCATGATGATGTTGTGTCTGGTGTCCAATTGTGATTAAATGTTTTCTGCTGTATTTGATATTGTTTCACTCTGATGTGTCCATGGAGAGAAGGAGACTATAAGCATGCCTCAGTGATTTTCCTGAACGCTCCAGCTCAGGCCCAGATTCTCTAACAAAGGAGCCTCATGATGGGAAACACCAAACTCATGGATATTCATGATGATGAAGAAGATCATAAAGTGAACTGATGGACACTTTGACTCTTTAAGTCTCTTTATGAAGTCTAGAGAATCCTGCAGACTGGAGAAACTGAAGACTGGTGTAATATTTGACATTCCTTCACATTTAACAGGAAGATCATCTTTCATTGTAATGCATTTTTCATATTGTGTATTTCATGTTTATCAAGCCTTATGAGTGAATTGTGCGGTGTGAAGATGTTTTTACCATGAGCAATTATTCTCAACTAACAGTGCAGAAAATGTGTGAAAGAAGTGTGATGTTTACAGAAGCACTGAGAATGTACCCATATCTCACTGTTTACCATAATAGAGAATATTTGATCTCTTATGCGTTTTATCAGCATGTAAATGGTGAAAAGCTTTTGTCCACTATTAATCTCTGTACAGAAACAGTGCTTCATTCACATCCTGTTTCAAGTCCTATTAAAATCTTTATTTGAAGTTGTTTGTCACGTACTGCATATAAATAAATGTAAGAAGCTCACTTCAGCAGTGACCTATTCCAGTAGTTCTACAATTGTAAAATTAGAACTAGAGAACGAAATAGCGTTAATACCCAGAAACCTCAGAGGAAGACACTTTGATGTCAACTGCATTGCACGTAAAATAAATTATTTTTATCATAATAATCTTAAAAGTCTCGTCCAAGTGATGCATTTGTAACGTGATTTTTGCAGCATTTGCACTCAACAATTATGACATTTTATTGTAAATTAAGTTTTTGTGACATAAGCAACTGAAGAGCACGGATGCAGGAAGTGAGAGTCTGAGAACGTGATAACTTAAGATCATATGCTTCTCCTTGAGTGATAAGCTGATTCTGTGGCATTATCACAAAGAAAATGTACATGATGAAGATGCAGGGAGAAGAAACATTGCAACGTTTTAACAAAAGGACTGTCAGTTTGAAGTTCATGGTTTTTTTCCTTTGGCTCATAACAGGCAAGTGTTCTGTATTTGTAATGGAGTTTATTCATACAATTAGTTGACATGTTCTCGGTCTAAAACTAAACAGTGTTTTGATCATTCTTTTATAATTACAGACTTTTATATAGAGAAAATAATTTCTCATGCCATGGATTATTTCATGTTATCATATAGTGTTGTCATAATTTTGACTTGGAGAGGATTTATTTTTCTTGAAAGTGCTAGTTAATGTTATTGCATTGGAACAAAATGAATTAGACTAAAATGCCTAAAACTATCTACAAATAATATTTTTTCCACTCAAAAACTGGGGTGGATAAGCTCAGATCAATAGGTTAATTCCAAAAACAAAACCTGTGCTAACTGAAAGAAAACAAGTTGACAAAACTGACTGAATTTAAGATTTGATGATAATGTAGCTTATTGAAATATTTCATCAGTATTTAAAAGGCTGGTAATGTCTTCTTTTTTTTTTTACCTCAAATTAGTTCAAGGATTTTCAGCACAGTACAAGGGTTAAAATGAAGGTAGAAAAGTGGTTAAAAAGGCACAAAAAAAAACTTGAAAGAAATAGTCATCAGTCACAGTACATAAAAAAATGCATGTTACATTCATATTAATTTAATCTAGAATCTTGATTTAAAAAAAGTCAAAGTACATGATTTGCATCAACTACCTGTAAGTTATAAACTTAAATACTAAAAGAAAACTTAAAATAATTGTGCTAAAAAGTGTAGCATGTATACATGCATCTAAATAAGATTGTTATTATCATTAACACTGACAAAAAACTCAAACTCAAAAGTTGATCTTTTTTTAAAATCCAGGTCCTGAATGCATAACAGGTTCAGCAAGCAGACTGTTAACGGCTCAGACTGGAGGATTATCATATATCATTATTCCATGTTATTATAACAGGAAATACACTGATCACAAAAAATACTGGTGCTTTGATGCCGGGTCAGCATACAATTACTGCAGTATTCTGGCATATGCTAATGAAACCAAAGGAAAAGTGTCAGTAATTGATCATCCAGATCAGAGTTTCTTTACTGTGACTATGAGAAACCTGCAGTATGAAGACACTGGAACTTATTGGTGTGTTGTGGAGATTGGAGGAATATTTCAACTAGATGAGAATGAGCAGCTTCATCTGACAGTTCAATCAGGTATGAGACGTGTTTCACATTCAGTTGAAAAATTTGACTAATTCCTCAGAAATCACAATCCTAAATGACTGGTGTGTGTGTGTGTGTGTTCAGCTCCTGATGTGTCTGTGGTGAGCAGCAGTGTATCTGGACATGAAGGTGGTGATATCAGTGTTCAGTGTTTCTATAGTTCTGGATATAAGGATAAACTCAAACAGTGGTGCAGATATGAAGATCAGAGCTGTTACACTGTGGGGAGGACTAACACATCCCAGAATTCATCAGTCCAGATCAGTGATGATGGGAGAAGATCCTTCACTGTGCTGATGACTGGACTGAGACTGACTGATTCTGGCTGGTACTTCTGCTCTGTAGGAGATCTGCAGGCTCCTGCTCAACTTAATGTCTCTGGTAAAACTCAGTCACTAATCATATCTACACAGCATTTCTTGATTGAAGAAAAATAAAAATTAAACTAAAATATTGTTTCATTTTTTTCCTGTCTCTAGAAAATCCAGAGGTTTCTTTTCTCACTGTCACTGAACCAAAACCAGGTTATACAGACTCTTACTGGAGTTTATGACACAATTATAATAAATCATTTTAATAGTTTCTTAATTTTTTATTTGACAGAAGCTGTGACCACAGAAGGATTTGCGAGAAACAGGTTAGTAGCTTATTAAAATATTAATCAAGATTTAAAATATTAAAAATCAATGTTTTCTATCATGGGCTTGATGCTTATATTTATGTATCTGTACAATGTAGTTTAATCCATTGTCTTTCTTAATATGTTGTCTATTTTTGTATCTAGTGTTATTGCTTATTTTTTGTCTTCTAGTCAGATTTATTTTTGTTAATTTTTCTCTTGTTGTTTCTTAGCAGAGATGCAACTGCTCTCTCATATACAACACCAGTTTCAATGAACACCAATCAAACAGTGAGCAGTGAAGAGCAGCAGAATAAGTACTGAAATAAGATGTTCATTGACTAAATAGATTGAAACACCAAAATGTTTCTTTGCCACAAGTTTTTGCAGCAGTGAACAATGTAGCCACTCAGAGGTATTTAAGTTAGTCGAGTCAATTCACTTTTATTTTTATAGCACTTTATACAACAGAGATTGTTCACAGTAAAGTAACAGTATCAATTATGCAGACTTCAATAATGAGGCAAATCCAAATTCTGTAAAGCAACAGTGGCAGAACAATAGTGCCATTATTCAACTTCAATCAGTTCAGTGTTTCTTCAGTTCACTTCAATACCTGTGTAAAGTTCATCATTAAAAAATTCAATTCAGCAATATAAGCAGCTTTGCTGAAGACAGTGGTGTTGTAACTCAACTTGAGTAATTTAGGTGTCCATTCAATTAAGTTGAATTATAGTGTTGATATTGCAGAATCCATCAATTCTGAACAAATTCTATTCTGTTATAAGGAGGAAACAATAGTGTCATTATTCAGCTCAATTCAGTTCAAGATTTGTTCTCATCCGATAGTGCCAGTGCTGTCAAATCGATAATATTACTGAATATAAAGTGTTTTTTAAAACCTCAACTAAGCAAGTCAAATGTGTTAGTCACCCAGCAAACACAGAACGTTCCCATACGGTTCCATTTTGGTTGGTTATTTATTTATTTTTGGAGAATTCTGAGAATGTTCTCGGTTTGTTCAAAAACAAACCTACCCAATATGTTGCAGACAGATTTTGTGCATAAAGATAACCTATACAGAACATTCTCTAATGGTTATTTTTTGAGCTTTATTTTTTATAACCATACAATAATCTTCCCAGAACTTTGCAGGGAGATTTTGTAACAATCCAAAGAGAACCAATGATTTTTCATGCTGCTAAGAGGACCAAAGGCCACATACATGCTGCAAAGTTTTATGAGTGACATCCGCTTTTATATGCAGGATTCACTCTCGAAATTGCAATGGTTAGCATATCGATAAACATAGCAATGGGTGGCACAAAAAAATTACATGTCAGAATAGAAAATAGATGAAATAGAAACATTTTTCTAGTCAGAAATTTCGAAATTCATGCCTTCAAAATGCTGTTGCAATTATTTGTAGAAGTAATGACTTGTAAATCTTGTAAATTTTTCACTGTGCATTGCTATTCTTGTTTTGTTGGTTCTCTGTAACCATGAAAGTTTGTGATGCCATTGCCTAGCATTTTAAAATGTCTTCAGATATTTAAACTCCTGTAATGTATTTCAGCCTTTAATTTTTTGTTGTTGTTTTTTTTTATTAATTATCTGCTACAGGATTTATTTTCTTTTTTTGTCTTTGTGTAGCTAATAATACAGTAAAAAAGATGTTACATCAGTGAGCTCAACTTTTTCTTTTGCATGCATGTCTATTTTAGATTTTATTGTCTTTAGTAAGAATTGTCTTTCTGTGGTGGGTGTGAAATGGTTTAAAAAACAAAACGCCGCTCTAAGGGTGTTTGAACAACTCATATATAACAAGAATATTTCAGTTATGGTCACACTATATTTTTGGTCACATTATATGTCTCTAAGTCTTTTGTACTGTCGATTATCACAGGCATTTTTTGTATCTGGAGGTGTGGATTCCAGCGTTTGTGCTGCTGATGGTGATTATCGTGTCAGCTGTAATACTGAGGAAGAAGCACAGTCAGTATTAATGACTTTTCTTATTATATGACATATCCCATGAATCATTCAGTGTTTGATCAGTTCATGCACCCAGAAGTTTTGCACATGTATATTTAAAAGCTTTTGTTGATGAACTGTTCCACTAAATGACTGATAATATTATTTGTTCTCTTACTTACAGACGGAAATGAACACGTCACAAAGGTGAACAGAGTCGGAGCCAGTGACACAGTAAGTCTGAGCTAACCAATTTGAGTTCAAACTCATAACTGAGAGACTCAGACTAACAGATGTGTTTATTGACAGGGAAACGGTGCCAGTACATCTTCAGTGCTTGCAGAGAATGTGACTTACACCTCTGTGATAGTACAACCTAAAACTAAAGCAGTAAGTCAGCTAAGAAGAACATGCACAAACAGAGAATCTCTGATTCATTTGTACTGTAATGTAATTGTCAGTGTTGTTCTTAATCATCTTTTGTATATCCAGAGCAGTCCAGTATCTGTGGAGGACGAAGTGACCTACAGCTCTGTGCACAAGGTGAAATGTTACAGGTTTGCTGAAGTTAATAATCAGAGGATGTTTTATACACACACACACACACACACACACACACACACACACACAACATATGATTTCATCTCATTGTTTATTCTCTTAATCACAGGTGAAGACCACTAAATACCTGAGCAAAATATGAACAACTGAAGTTGAAACAAGCCAATATATAGTTAATTTTTCCCAGGAATACTAATTCTGATAAAAATTATATCTTTTATCTCTCTGTCAATATCCCTATTAGTGGCATTGTGTAAGTACTTTTGGACTGTAAAAAAACACAAGGTTTACACTGAGATAAAAATTGTGTTTAGCATTTTACTGTACAGGTGTTCTTTAGTAACAAGTGTGTACATTTTTGTTGTCTGTAAAAAACAAAGCAATAATATACATTTGCAAAGTTAAGCTGTAATGTGCTTGCTAAAGTGTGACAATAAATAAAATCTTTATTTGTCTGTTTCTGAATGTATTTTGCAATTTTGTAGCCTTAATATGCATTATGCAAAAAAACATTGCATATATATATATATATGCAAAAATATTGCCACATTTTTCATTAATAAAATTAAAAACATCAGTGCACAATTTTCCACACCACAATCTGTCAAGCACATCTTACCAGCAAACATACACTCATTCACATCCTTCTCTTCACTCGCTGAGGCAGAAGTCTCCAAACTCATCCTTTCTAATCATCCTACTACTTGTCCGCTTGATCCTATTCCATCTCATCTCCTTCAAGCCATTTCTCCTGTAGTTGTACCTGCACTCACTCACATCATTAACATATCCCTTCACACTGGTCTTTTTCCCTCAACATTTAGACAGGCTTGTATAACCCCACTACTTAAGAAACCCACCCTTAACCCATCTCTTTTAGAGAACTACAGACAGGTTAGAGAACAGTACAGAAGGTTTCCCTTCTTCCTTTCATTGCAAAAACAATTGAACAAGCTGTGTTCAACCAAGTCTCTGCCTTTCTCACACAGAACAACCTCCTTGACAGCAACCAGTCTGGTTTCAGAAGTGGACATTCAACCGAGACTGCCTTGCTCTCAGTTGTTGAAGCCCTAAGACT